CCGAAGTTGCGTTGGACAGAGTATTAAGCCACATGACTAACCCCTCGTTTTTATCACGGCCAGGATATTCTTCAACTCCTATCACATCACACAACTGCGTAAGTTTTTCTTTGAACCGTAATACATCAACGAATAAGAGATTTGCAAAAAAAAATCATTGTTTAATTTGTGTCTTCATAATTCAATAATCTGCTTCATTTCGATGTTAATTGCTAATAGCTAATTTTATAATTTTTGCAGGCTTCAATAGCACTTTCATAATTTCCCCAAGCAGCAAGCTTTAAATAATGCGCTCCTTCTTCTTTGTCTTCTGTCCCTGCCAAACCTTTGTAATATATAGATCCTAAACGAAACTGTGCGTAAGACTTTACATTACCATTACCATCAATAGCAGCCTTTGTATAAAGTTCTATAGCACGTGCTTGGTTTTTCTGGACCCCATAACCATTAAAAAGACAATCTCCATATTTTGTATGTGCGTCCGTAATATTTGCATCTGAAGCGAGCTCAAAAAGATGGGCAACTTCTTTTTGAATTCTCTTGTATTCAGGTTTAGACAATTTTTTCTTGCCAAAAAGTTTTTGCTGCATAAAATAACCTTTATAATAAATGGCTTTAAAATCATTCATTTCGGCAAATTTGTCAATATATTCTAGTGCTTTCTGCTTATTTCCACCTTTTTTTCTTGCTTCATTTGCTGCATCTTCTATAGATAAAAAATTATGCTGAGAAAAGTTTTCTTTAAAAGATTCCACACATAATGTTGAAGAGTTTTCTGGATTATTTACTATATCAAATAAAACTCTAAACATGTCACAGATGGTTGGACGGTTGTTTGGCTCGAATTTAAGAGCTAATGGAAAAGAAAATAAATTTTTAATATGATGTATATTTTTTTTGCTAAAAAAAATAGATTTATTATTTACCTTGCATCATAATATATGTATATTTCTGTGGTATGCAATTATTAAAATTACTATAATTATGTAATATTTGCTTATTATAAAGGATCGCATTCCTTATTGCATAGATATTATTATAAACATCATATGGATTTTTCTCATTTAAAATTTCCCAGAGAACAATTCCAAAACTAATTATTTTGTAAGTAAATAAATAATTAAATTTAGAAAAAAATATTAAAATTTTTTAAAAGTCTGACTGGATTTATATTGCATTTATAAACAACATACCTATAAATTTCACTTTTAAAATCATACTTGCATAATGTGGAATGTTTGCGTTCTAACATTTCTGGTGCCATGCTTTTAATTCTGGCTTTATCAGTTCCAAGATTACCTGAATTATCTGAATTTGATCGGCTATAATTAAAGTTTGCAATCTTAGCATTAAGGCCATTTGTAATCAGAATGTTTTCAGATCTGATATCATGATGTAAAAAATTTACAGCATTTAAGAAGACTAATCCAGTACATATTTCTAATGCAAATTTTGATTTGGTTAAAAAATCTAAAGGTTTGTAGTTGGTGTAATATTCTTTTAAGTTGCCATAGTCTGCTTTTTCTATAATTAAATATATTGAGCCAGGGGATGATTCATCTTGTAATATCCCATAAAACTTGATAATGTTAACGTTTGCAAAATCTTCTAAATTTTTTAAAAGTGCCACATGCATACATAAATCTATCCGATCTGTGTTGTATTTTAATCTCGAAGTACCAAGACTATCCACTTTTTGAATTGAATAACCAAGAAGCTCAACAGTAGAGAGTTTTAGTTTAGTGGCAAGTCGTGTACTTGTCCTTTCAATAGCTTTAAACATAGTATTATGATCATTTTTGAAGTTGCATTGAAGAGCATAAATAATCTAGAAAATACAGTATTAATTTAACTTTTAAAATTGCATATTTAATAATGAAATTGACAAAATTGGCAATATCAAAAATAAATACCTTTATTGTTTCTTCGATATCATCATTAAGTAAATTGTTAACTTGGTCATTGGGATAAGTTTTAAACTTGATAGATAACATTGATTTATTAAATTCATCAAATAATCGCTCAAATTCAACTTTTATTGATCTTAATGAGAGTCCGGAATCAGTCTTTTGAATATAATTCCTTAATCCTCTAATATTAAAAATCTTTTTAATAAAGCTATTGATTTTTCTAATATTTTGGAGAAATATCTGAAAGAGTTTATAATTGTCTAATGTCGCGAAAGCAGCATGATAACTTTTGTTGTCTTGAAGATTTTTCAAATTGAATTTAGCTAAATTAATACATTCAACTAATACTCCACAAATTCTTGTGTTAAGCTGCGCATTTTTGTTTGATAACCTGATTTCTTTGAAAAGTTCGTGGGCTTCTTTAATTGGTTGTGAAAACGTATCAAAATTGACAGATCGTTCCAAGGTTACTGTTGTTGGATTTGTAATTTGACAATCATTACAGTCATCTTCAATATAATTTTGTACAGACTCATCAGTAATTTTTTCATCAATATCAGATAATTCTGTAATTGTTTGGCTAAGATGTTCATCATCGATAGATAATTCTGTAATAAATATATAATAAACATATTATGCAAGTTAAAAAGTTACATCAGCTATTCATAATATTGTTAAATGCCACTAACCTGTTAAAACATCATCACCATCCTGATAAGTTGAACTTTGATTAAGAGTTTCTAGATCTTTCAAAATCTTAGAAATTCCAGGTCTAAACGAAGGATCTTGATGCCAACATTTTTCATAAATTTCTATATAATCTGAAGGCATTCCATTTTCAGGCTTTTCTCTTTCTCCTAGGCAAATAGCCGTAGTCAAGTTATCACCACTTCTACCTTGAAATGGCGGGCGACAAGCGTATATCTCCCACATGAGTACACCATAGCTGTAAATATCTGACTCTTTTGTATGCGTATAATTTGGATTTGATTCTTTATCTAGCAATTTGGGGTCAACATAAGCTTGAACCCCTCGAACTTCTGATATGTGTTTATCATTTTGTTCAAAAAGATACTTTGATAGACCAAAGTCACCTAAAAGTGCCTTGCCATTGCAAATAAGAATATTTTTTGAATGCTATGAAATTAATAAAAATTGTATAATATAGCGATTAGTATTAGCATTTATAACTAAGATTTAAACTTAAGGCATAAAAAAAAAAATTCTATAATTACTAAATCTCTGTGTAGTATATCGTTATTATGCAAAAATTCTAATCCTTTGAGAATAGCCTTATTGAAGGAAATTTTTTCATCCAATGTCAGATTAAGATACTTTGATAGACCAAAGTCACCTAAAAGTGCCTTGCCATTGCAAATAGGAATATTTTTTGAATGCTATGAAATTAATAAAAATTGTATAATATAGCGATTAGTATTAGCATTTATAACTAAAATTTAAACTTAAGGCATAAAAAAAAAAATTCTATAATTACTAAATCTCTGTGTAGTATATCGTTATTATGCAAAAATTCTAATCCTTTGAGAATAGCCTTATTGAAAGAAATTTTTTCATCCAATGTCAGATTAAGTTTATGTATAAGATAACTTTGTAAATTTCCATTATTTGCGTATTGCATTACAAAAATATATTGCCCGTTTTCTGCATTTGGAAATAACGATAATAAGTACCTAATTTACATAAGTTAATGACATGTGCACAGTTGGTTGAATAAACATATATTCCTTTAGAAATTATTGAGGGCTAAACGACATATAGTATACGGTGGCTATTTACTGCGCCACTGCCTATTGTTTAAAGTAACTTTCTTGATTCACCAAAAATTTCTTTATACGTATAAGATAACGGTCTCTGCAATATTCGTATAACATTTATAGCGTTTATTCCATATCTTATAGTCTGTCGTATGATGACTGGCCCTAATGCTAGTATCTAATTAATGAATGCCTGCTAGCATAATAATAGATGCTAGTGAAACTAAATAGTGAAACTGGTGACTATCTGAAATCTGATTGGATGTTATATTAAATTTCACCAAGAGTTTCACCGGTTTCACCAGCATCTATAATAACAAGTAAATCACATTCAAAATTTCTTTTCCCCATTAACGTGCATACGTACGTACAGGTCGTGAACAATTTACCTAGAACCATTTTAGTGAAATTTACCTTGAGTTAAACCAAAAAATTGAATAATATATTCTTTGCATTTTACGGACATTTTTAAGGCATATATCTAAAATATATTAGAGGTTAATTTATTTATTGCTTCTCTCTTGTATATATTATCTTAACTAACCTCTCGAGTAAAATCTTTTTTCGCTTGCGGTGTATTTTTACGAATAATATATTTTACCGCTACTTCTTGTTCATTCTCCTTCCCTTTGTTCAACGTTCCCTTATAGACAGTTCCAAATCCCCCACTGTCAATCAATACTAAATCACTTAAATCTTCTCGTTTGATATCAATATCATAATTGGAATCAGACGAAATAAACAAATGTTGCGCCATTTAATAAAGATATAACAATACGTGTGAAAGCAAAGTATAAACTATGTCAAAAAAAGTGAATAAGAAAACGGTTTTATCTAATTGATATGTTGTAAGTAGAATGGGACAGAATAGTTATATTAAAACTCCTAATCCTATACTTCAAATTTCAGAATCAACTCAAATTCCGTCCCCACTTAAAGATATTTATATATATGTTTTTTTTATCTTATTAAAATAAAATCGCTTTGTCCAGAAATTATAAAGTTGCAAATATATCTAGTTACTTATCAATCGTACTGAATTCCGTAAACAATTCATAAGTTAACAAAATAATTCGTTTTTTAGTGATCGCTAATTGTACATACGTATAACTTTAATGCCTAATGTAGAATTATATCTCTTATTTAGATATATACTATACTTATTTAGAAACATATTAAGCGTTGCTAAGGACAAAAGATTGTCAAATTATCAGCATTACGTATCAGTATTCTAATTAAGTTACACATATTGTCACAACTTTCTTCGTCGCACTTAGAATTTTCTATTTTTTCATAAAAAAATTATACGTAGTGGCAGTCCTATTTTAGATCTTAGGTCTTTGACTTATCACGAGACATATTAATGACATATGGAATATTAATGGTGCATCGGAGTACTTAATACATCCAGAACACATTGTATGAAAAGTTTATTATTATTGTCGTTGTACGTAAGTGGAATGGAATTTAAGTGGATTTGGAATTTCCCAGTTAAATTAGGATTAGGATTAGGGTGTACGTAGTTGTAAGTGGATTTGGAATTCCTAGGTTAGGGTGTACATATGATAAAATCAACCCCAAAACGGAGGGTTTTATATATAAATTCCGAATCCACTTAAATTCCGCTTCCACTTACAACATATATATCACAGCTGACGCACCTCAGATGCAGATCGTCAGGTGAGGTGCGTAACCTATCGATCTCGGTCAATAAGCACTAAAAAAAAATTATATGTATAAAATCGAACGTGCCGAAAAACTTAGACGGGAAGAATATGCCGCGAAAATTTAGGCAAAAAAAAAAACTATATGTATAGAGAGAAAAAAGTACGTATTAATTGGAAATAGAATGTGCCGTGAAAATTCTGACAAAGAAATTCAAAGAAAAGAACGGAGGTACTAAAAAGACTTAATGTAAAAAAATGCTACTGTTGGTGGTAAAATACCGGAGATTAAGAATGCTATTGGAGGTAAGACGACGCCAAAGTGATTCAAAAATATAGAATGCTACTGGAGTTAAGAAAGACGCCA